TCATGTAAGATATATCGGTATTTAGGTAAAAATAAAAATACATGTAATTCATTAATATAACCGTTTCGTAATCGAATTCGCAAACAATACCGTTTTTGTAGCCGAACTCTTTGTTCTGAAGTAAGGCCAATCAAATTGGTTAGCACTGATTCAGAGCAGTGCATTGATTAGCATTAGGTGCATCCAGAAGCACGACAGCTCATTGAGCGCTCATTGAGCTCTTGTATCTGTTTGGTCTATATTTTTCGATCTAATGGAATATACCAATCAGATGCAAGAGCTCACCGAGCGCTCAGTGAGCGGTCGTGCTTCTGGATGCACCCATTGATTCGGGGCAGTGCGAGAGTCAAGTTACTAGGAGCACTGGGGGTCTATTCTTGAAACGAAACGTATACGAAAGTCTAGGGAAATACTATAGTATACGTAACGTATACTGTAGCATTTCCCTAGACTTTCGTATACGTTTCGTTTCAAGAATAGAGCCCCTGGATCCGAATCAAGGCAAGTAAGGGCCTGAGCACAATAGAGGAACAAGAATTAGATATTAAGATTTTAACCTATCAGAAACTGATTACATCGGAATACACGGTTTCTGATAGGTTGAAATCTTAATATCTAATTCTTGTTCCTCTATTGTGCGCAGGCCCTAAAACCACACTCGGATCGCACACACCGTCTCGGTACTAGTGCAAAAGTTATTAGCCACTGGCACCGAGCAACATCGAGTGAGTACACATCAATCGAATTCGCCATAAGTTATGACACAGAGAATCACTATATCTTTGTTATTCACATCGAAGTACAGAATTGGAAGTTGGAGTATGTTTATGTGTGCCTTCCAACAAGCGACACAGTGATCATGTCATCTTTGTTTAACATTGACAAACAAGGATATAATGATCCATTGTGTCACACCGTGTCATTTGTGTCGCTTGTTGGAAGGCACACTATAGGTCTGTTTTCTGTGGCTGAACTAGTGTACACTTTTGGAACTTAAAGTGAGAAAGATATACGTTTGATACTTGTTTAAAGCGAGAAAGAGAGTTCTAGAACAGTTTAGTGCAGGAACAGAAAACAGACCAAACGGCTGCGTTTCGTTATTCACTGTCAGTACTGGCAACATGACGTCATGAAGTAGTACTGCAGAAGCGTTCTGAAATTACTAATAGTAGTTTTATATAACGTTGCATAACGATTAACGAAACGGATTTATGCCTAGTTCAAACTGAACGCAGCAAGCGTCAAGCAGTGGAGCAGCAACAAATCAGCGAGGCGATATTTACAGTGGCGTAAAAAATACCACCTTGCTGGTTGGTTGCTGCTATGCTGCTTGACGCTTGCTGCTTCCAGTCTGAACTAGGCAT